GACGACCCTTCTCCAGATCGGTAATGGACGTGGTCGTCCGAGACCCCTTTGATTAAACAATACATTATACTCATCGAGAGCAATAAAAGATTGTCTGTGACATGTGTACATGCATCAAATATAGTGCAGTGTACCATCCCGTGTTTGGCTTCCTGAAAGAGTAGCACGCGATTGACTTTACCCGGGCTATTGCACTGCTTCTCTGTTCATACAGAGGAACCGAACTACTGCAAACCGACCTATCGGAGTGAAAGACTAACCAGAACGCTGACTTTGCCGACAATGCCCTAGATCGCCGTTCTCTCTAATCCAATTCAGTGATTGAACAAGAATAGTATCCAGAATAAGAAATTAATATAACATCCAAGATGGATAAACACGGCCAGAGTTATGCTGAATTTACATTCGCACTTTGCTGCAGCATTTGCAATTGACGCTTGCAATCATTTAGTTCTTGCTGTGTAGCTGCCAACTCTTTTTCGGTTTCCTCCAGTCGCTCCTGTAGCTGTATATTCAAGCGTTCAACTCCGGAAGCGACACCTGCAACAGATTCATTTAGGACATATGATCATCTCCCTTAAAAGTTATGATCACCGACCTCCCAGCAACTTGACCATCCTCCACAGACGCAGTAATACCAATAGCTCGAACACGTCTTGAGCAGGACCCCGTATGAATAGGACGGCAAAGTTCATGATAATGATGATCGCGTCGAGTAAGTGAAGTGTTGAATGTTCGACATCTGACCATGGGAGGTAATAATCTATTCCAAACGCCCAGAGTGACGGCGGAAGTTCTAGAAGGAAGATGACCGAGATGACGATGGAGGTGTAAGAGAGGATCTTTTGCAAGTTAGCCCAACTTGGTGTAACCGCAATTGAAGGCATACCTAAGAGAAACAATTAGTTCTAGCACGAAGTTGAATGGGGCTATGTATCCATACCTGTAGCCAAATTGGTCCGTCTTCTCCAGTATCCGGGTGGCCGTCCCTCCTGCAGGACTGGCTGAGGAGAAGATAGCAAATCTCAATTACAACAATAAAGCAGTCGATGAGTATAATGTATTGTTTAATCAAAGGGGTCTCGGACGACCACGTCCATTACCGATCTGGAGAAGGGTCGTC